TTTCAGTCATTTACCTAATTGTTAGAGAGCTAAATGACCGTGAAATTGAAAATCACTACAAAATGAACTCTGAAAATGTTGAAACTTGGCACGGTATCATCATTTCACCGGCATAGTATGTGCGAAAGAGTAGAGAGGGTCACGACAAAAACTGGACGCACTTCATGTACAAACTGGACAATCTCTTTCGGAGTATCAGAGTTTCGGACGAGAACTCATCTGTTACACGGGCACTTCAATGTTTTTAAACTTATTTGAACTCCGGACTTCTTTTCTGTTCAGTATGCAGCATTCAAAGCGACGTCATCAATTTCCAACATGTTCTGACATCATTTGTTGTTTTTCAGTCATTTACCTAATTGTTTAGAGAGCTAAATGACCGTGAAATTTCACTACAAAATAAACTCTGAAAATGTTAAAACTTACAATGGTATTATCTTTTCACCCGCATAGCATGTGCGAAAGAGTACAGAGGGTCACAAAGAAACTAAATACATAAAAAACTACTTAAAAATAAATAGAAGAAAATGAATAAAGCAGAAAAGAAAAAACTATATAAAAAATTACTCAAAAATAAATAGAAGAAAATAAATAATGCAGAAAAGAAAAAACTATATAAAAAATTACTCAAAAATAAATAGAAGAAAATAAATAATGCAGAAAAGAAAAAACTATATAAAAAATTTGTTGGGGCGCTGCCCAATTGGCCTGCCCGACCTAGGGTGTGCAAATGCAGGCCCAGAAGGACCAGCAGGCTCACAGGGCAGCGCGCCATAGTTAGGCCCAGAAGCCTTCTATATAAAGAAGTTCGAAGGAGCAGCCGCGACTGGGTTTATAAACCAGTGCGGCTGCCCTTCGCTCGGCGAGGTGGGACTAAACATTGTGCACCGCCGGTGATAGCGCACAACCATTAGTACCGGTTGGTGGCTATCCGCGATGCCTCGTCGGATCCTGTTCTGAAGGAACTGAACTTTATCTTGATCGAAGGTACGAAGCTCAGATTCAGATGCAGATTGTCCAGGCTCTTGAAACTAGTAAACCTTGCCTGTTTTTAATAGATTTCTGTTTTGATCCTCTGTTCTGCAGCTGTCACGATGCAGGATCTGTTTGTGATATACAACAACGAGAGCAAGCAGCTCGGATGGGTCCGTGCACAATGCGACAAGGCGCAGGAGCTTGAATCCGTCATCCATTCGCGTCTCTGAATAATGTTCGATCAGATCGACATAGACAAAAACCTTAACGGGAACAAATCAGTGCTCTCATATGGTGTTTGAAACACTGTATGATGCTCCCACTTATAACGAATAAAATGTTGGCATGCTGAGGAATGTGTACCTTCTGCATATATTTACAATCCTGATATGATACTAGTAAGCATGCACGTGCAACCCACGTCTCGACTATTATTGTAAATAATACGTAAAATCATGTGTATAAAAAAGCTAAAGTAAATATATCATAATAATAGTGGAATTCACAATATTCTAGAAATGATATAATTTAGCATTACATATAAGGAGCATAGATGCAACTAATCTACTTATTTCTTAACATGTTTTAGAAAAATTGTACAATGTCAGAAACCTTGTGTGCATCTTCATCTCGTTGTACATGAGTCAGTACATTAAAAATTGCTTCTTTATCTCCCAACAATCACATGAGGATTACAAGGCTTTATCATGGAGTAAGTAGTACGGAAAGATATTGCATTATTTGGGTCTAAAATTGTATCCATCATCTCTCAGGTGAACGTCTTTTCCCATTATTCTATAAGCGTGTCATGGTAATACTTGCGCAAGATAGTATTTCTTTACGGCGATAGTTTTGCCTTTAGTGATGTCTTTCAACGCGAGGTCTTCACTGACATAGGGGTGCAGGCAGCATTCGGCTTCATCCTATGAAACTATCAATTAGCTCATCACTGCTTTAAAATTAAACATATATTTGTACTGTGCTATTATCCACAAGCCCACCCCACTTGCATCCCTAAGTGACATGGTATGCGGCAAATGACTTTTTCCATGCAGATCTTGCTATAAAATAAGATGCCACCATCTCAATATAAAACCTAGGCCATCTTCCCTTTCTTCCTCATTGTGGTGTTCATGAGCTGAGTTTGCCTGGATGGAATAACCTATCGTTAGGGTATTCCGAAAGGAGTGGGTCGCTTGAAAAATAAGGTTTCTTAAATAATAGTCTCCCTGTAAACAACGAAATGGAAACTGATAAAGATACTTGACAAATGAATATCCGTCATAAGACAAAGTAATGCCATTTTTTATTTTTTAATCAAGAAAGATTGTTCAACATCGTACTCCTTCTGTCCTAAAATAAGTGTCTTTGATTTAGTACAATTTTAGTACAAAGTTGTACTAAATCAAAGACACTTACAAAGTTGTACTAAATGAAAGGCACTTATTTTGGGACGGCTGGAGTAGAATATTGTGCATTTTACAGGCACCAATGTCCAGTAATGAAAATATTAGGACACATTACAAGGCCAAGCATTGGCCCACGATATTTGCTTGCCTCGCATGTAACTCCGAAGCGGAAACATGAAGGTAATATTTGCTGGCGATGAGAAGTTTAGAACAGAATAAAAAAGAGGAACCATTTCGTGCAACTTCTAAAAAGTTCTCCCATCAAATGAGCTCTACGGAAGAGGATCATGCATGATGTGTAAATCAATAAACAACCATCAGCAAGCAAACCTGAATGGAATGGAGATTGGCGCAATGTGAATCCTCTGAATCTCATTTGCTCAAGATTGAAGCCTAAAAGGAACAAAAAACAGATAATTAAGTTCAAATTGGATCTGAATAACCAAAATAAAGAAGAGACAATGAATAAATTATGCACTAAATACAAAATGCATCCCGGTGTACCCTGAATATTTAAGTAGGGAACATGACAGGTAAACAAGTAAGGTCATTTACGTAGACCTATGCCAAGGATCATCATCACAGTTGACAAGAAATCAAAATCAAGACAGATTGAAGTGTAGTCAGTTTGATTAGGTCATCTTAATTGAGTTTGAAAAACAAGACACACACTGAATTGTAACCAAAGCAGAAAGAAGACATATTAAGAAGTCACCTCAGCCTCCCACAAGAGGCACAAAAATAATGTCCACTTGTTTAAGTCTGGAGAAAAATTAACACCTGGATCTGGCATAGAATGTTCATTCCTTCCAACTATTAGTGTGCCAATCCTTACACAAGAGTGATCACCTGAACATATATTTGTTCATGTTGAAGGCATCAACACAGAACATGATTTTCAAAGATTAGAGAGCTATTTCATTGGTGATTTAATCATCAGAGATAGATGGACACATACACACAGGTGATAATAGGTTGTTCCATAAATAAAAAAGGGAGGATGTCCTCTGCTCGTCTGCACAGAAATCGTCTCTCCTTTTCTGATTGCCCCGTCCATGCCTGCAACACAAATGTCAACCTCCGCTGTCATAGGCAGGTTTAACACAATAACAATGAAGGGCTCGAGCGTAGGTGTTCAACACAAACAATATTTTGAAAGAAATGTCAACCTCGTTGAACACTTGCATGGCTTTGAGACATAGGATACCACTTTCAAATTGATGGAGGAGGAAATGAGCCCAGCAAACACGGCGTCAATGCCTTTCGCATCATCACCGTGGAGGATCACTTCATCAGTTGCTCATTGAACGACTGAAGGGCTCGAGCGGCAAGCCAGCAACGTCTACTGCATGGGGAGGCAGATGGCGAGCGCCTAGCCCCTCGCCTTGGCCTTACGGCTGCCTGCACTTAAGGAAGGCCGCATCCCAGACCATCGCTCGAATCCTTGCCGCCTGCATCACGCCGCCACGGGGCGACGACCTCCGGCCACCTGCCCGCGTCATCGCTAAGCCATGCAGCAACTCGTGCCAGCGACACGCATGCGCCCCATCTCACGCCGTGGGAACTCCAGACTTGCGCAACGCATCCCTTGCCTCCACGCCGCCCAAGGAGGCCAAGACGGAGAGAAGGAGCGGCGGCTAGGGTTCCCCCGAGCCCTGGGGTCGCGAGTTGGAGAGCCCTTTTTTCGCCAAGGAGTGGAGCAGTTGTGCGGGGGATGGCGATGGAGGCGTGAGAAGAGGCAGGGAGGAGGTTCACGATGCGAGAGGTAGGGAACGTGCGATGCAAAAGGTTTATTTGGTAACCGGTAGTAATTAGTGGGGCATGTTGTGCGGGGGTGCTAAATGCGTTTAGCATCAACCATGTTTTAGTGTTAAACATTGAAGTGATTTGGGCCATTGGATCAAGTTGTTTGAAGGGATGAGATTGTTTGGTTCTCCGCCCTTTCGTCCTTTTATAGGGGTAGTAGATAGATTAGATTGACTGTGTGCATGGTCCTCCTACCAAGAAGCAAACTTATTTTTCGGAAAGAATATAACGCACTACAGAAATAAGTTACAGAGCTATTGCATGCACAGCTGGATCTGAACCCCTGAGCATGCATGTGGGGAAGGCAGGTTTTTCTTTTGAGGGTTCTTATCTTGTTCTTCATGTCACTACGAATTTGTGAAATCTTTGAAAATGTCCACACAAAAATAAGTACAGGAAATTAGAGGAATAAGGAGAGAGTGAGAAAAGGTTTGTGGTGGGAAAAATAAAATGACAAACACTAGAAAATTAGGCTTGTAGAAATGCATTTTGTACAAATTTCAATACCGTAATCTTATGTGGTTTTGCCTGTGATTATTGATTTTTTTTTCCTTTTTGCCACGGTCGACTGTGTTTTTGTATTTCAGTCAATTCCATCTCAGTTATGTACGCTGCTATAGCTTGGATCAGTTCACACTTTAGAACAACTGGTGGTCCTTTTGATAATTTATATGCCTTTTCTTGTAATTTTTTCCTGCTATATTCAGGTTGCAAGGATTACATTCAGGAATGGTAATCTTTTGTCCCTTATATTTTTTATTTGAGGTGCACTTCTCGTCTACACCAGTCGCACATTTTCTGAAGTGTGTAAAACTGTAAATACTGTACTTGTAATGTGCAAATCTATTTAGTTGCTTCTTTTTTGTTTTTGAGATTGACTTGATTCTTTTTATTTGTACGATGGGTCTCCAAACTCTGCTTGGTCTGTTGCCGACATGTCAGTCACATAGGGCTTTACTGTTGCCGATATGTTGGGTTTTTATTTTCTATTTATGAGACAGTTCGTGTTTTGGCTATGTGCATCTTTGATATGCAGGGGTCGGGTGTTGCTCATCATGATTGTATCCACTTGATGCTACATTTTGAGTTAATAAAAATGTCATTTATCAGAAAGAAAAATCTGCTTGGTCTATGGTGCTTCTAATATACATCAGTTGCACATTTTGAAGATGTGGCAACCATGTACTTGTAATGTGCAACTCGTTCATTTGATTCTCTACTCTTACATTTGATTTTTAAAGTTAAAGTTATACATTGTTTTATTTTGTTTGGAACGCTGCACTTTTAATATAGACCAGTGGCATATTTCCAAATAGGCAACCCGTTTTTGTGCTATTGAATAATATTTATTCTACCAATGTGCTACTCCCTCTGTCCGGAATTACTTGTCAGAGAAATGAATGTATCTAGACATATTTTAGTTTTAGATACATTCGTTTTATCCATTTCTGTGACAAGTAATTTTGGACGGAGGGAATACCAGATAATGTCTTGTGTAGTAAAGAATGGCAATGAAGGGAATTGTCCAAAATTGGTAAGAGAATCGTACGATCTAGAGAGGTCTTAAAATTATTTAGGAACAATAGTAACTGTTCGATGTCAAACTAGTAAGGGATTGGATGGATCGGGTCAAGTAACACCGACGCAAGTCAATGATCTACCCAGGTCTTCCAGACATGCTCTCCTTTCCATCGGCCTTCAGGCAAGCCGTGGCGTCGGCGAGGATCGAGTGTTTGGAGATAGGCGGCCGAGGGGAGCCCAGGAGGCAGGAGCGCAGCTTCCTTGCCTTGGGGGCTCGTCCACGAAGGGTGACAGGCTATTGACCATTTTGTCAATTTGTGAAAGCTGGGATGTGTTGTTTCTTTCATAGGCTTAGTTGTTGTCTCTTGTGGTGCTCCAACATACATTCAGTATCTCCGGTTGTGCTTGGATTGGATCCTGCCCTTGCACGCTGGGGCTGGTTGGATGGCATGTCCTGTCATGTCTCCCGGCCTTTTACCCTTGCTGCTCCCGGT